TTGTGTAAGGAACTAGCTAAGTTCCTAAGTAGCTAAGTAAGCAAAATAACAACTATTTGAGTCAAAATTATATTTTCTGGGTGTCGTGAGCAAAAAAGTAGTTACAGAAAAGGGTGAGATCTCTGAGAAAAATGGCTTGGACAGTGAAGGGTAGAGAGATCTGAGGACTGCATCTTCAGGAACAGATAAAGTTCAGCTCCAAATCACTCTCTGTTCTCTCTTTAGACTCTTCTTTAGGTGATCTCATCTGATTATAGAGCCAGCTTGGATAAACAAACATGTTCCATATTTACACTCATAATTTAAATCTGCCCTGATATAAATAAATATACAAACAAAATAAAATACAGAGCAAATACTTGAAGTAAACAGTGAAACCATAGTATGTATAAGAAAATAAATGAGAACATCCTAGGGCTATAAAGAAGAGTTCTATCAGAAAAGTAACTTCCTATCTTCCAGTTTTTGTGAAAATTTCTATCTAAATTCAGATTTGTAGAAAAAACAAGATTTTGGAAGCTTTAGGAATCAAGTATGGTATACTTGAGGGAGAGTTATAAGTGTTGGATGTAATTGAAAATGACACTCAGAACCTACAGTAAATATATAACAAATTTATTTGAGAACTTGGGGAATAAGAAGCCAAAAAAGTTCTTTGCACATGCTCATGTTTGTTGAACAAATAAATTTTAAAAGGAATAAACTCAAAAATCAAAAGACAAAAATAGTAATGTAGTTTGGGTCATGGTTGTGTAAGATTTTGAAAAGCATGAGTATTTTAGTGTAAAATGTTCTTATAAGTCAAGGAGAGAGGTCAGGAAAATGGATTAAAAAAAAAAAAACAACGAAGTTTAAAATTTTAGCAGCAAAGTGAACAAAATGACAGGAGAGGAAAAGTGGTAGAGAAAGACTGACCAGTATGATCTGAAGTTGAAGAACATATGTGGGATTCTTACTGCTCTTTAATAAAATATGCAAAGGAACTTTGCCAAGTGAAATATTATAGGCATAACTAGACATCCTGGTGAGTATGATGAATGGAGAAAGAATAGGTTGGATTGGAGATGGTTCAAAAAAGATGTATGTTAAGAAGGTGATATGATAGCTGTATGTAGCACATTTTGACAGTAGAACCTGAGAAGAAAAGAATTCCAGTACAGGGAAGTTCCAAGGCTGTCTTGAAAACTTATATAACCAGGTCAATGACAGATTATAAGAAACTGCTGAAACCTACAACACTCACTCAGTTTCAAAGCCCAAAGCTATTAGCAAGTCAGTTTACAACTGGTGGCCTCAAACAGTCATAGTTCCAAGCTGAAAACCAAATTATGAAAAGTTAACCTTTTCAACAACATAACCAACTCAGAAAAACATCCTTTAACTACTTTACCTATATGGGCTTAAAGAGATTCTTATTGTGTTATCTTGGCTTATTTGGGAAGTTGTTGATTCTAACTTTTGATTTTAAATTATAAAGTTATCAAAACAAAACGAGCGGGGCTTCCCTAGTGGCGCAGTGGTTGAGAGTCTGCCTGCCGATGCAGGGGACACGGGTTCGTGCCCCGGTCCGGGAAGATCCCACATGCCGCGGAACGGCTGAGCCCGTGAGCCATGGCCACTGAGCTTGCTTGTCCGGAGCCTGTGCTCCACAGCGGGAGAGGCCACAACAGTGAGAGGACCGCGTACCGCAAAAAAAACAACAACAAAAAAACGAGCAACCAGAGCCACTTTAGTTTGGGTGCAGACACGGCAGCTGGCCCACAGAACGCATCCTTCAGTACGTGCTTGAGGCTGGCTCATATGGCAGATGCTTCTTTATTCTGTACTGCTAGAGCTAGAATCAAACCAGTTTCATTTGTGCTTAGCTTCACTCATCGATCCTCAAAAGCCTCCTACAATTTAATAACTTCTGACCCAAATTAAGTTGAGGTTAGAACAAAAGACTAACTGTGATTTTTGTTAAAGAATCTTGCCCAGTACCTCAAAAAAATAATTTTAGTGCTAGGTGGCCCGTCAACTTTCACAATCTCAACTACTGGTTTTGTCTCCTTAAAAGGCTCTGTCTTGTGAGGGGGAGCAAGTTGGCTGATAGTCAGTGGTATTTTCTCACTTTTCAAGGCACAGGGCAGTGCCTACTGTGCAGGTCTGATTTACTCTAGCCAGAACACAATGTTCAGGGGCCTCTGAACTTGCAGAGGGTCAGCTGATCCCTCAGCAACAGGGTGACTCACCGCCCCCATCATTTGGCTGTACTACCTGCCACTAAGGATTAAGATGATCAAGCACTGGCTCTTTCTCCTATGACTATGTAACTCCTCTTCAAAATCATTTCCCAATATGATTCATTCTGTTTAAATTGATTTATCTCATGCATTATATTTAGGTATGGAAAACTTACTAAAAATATGAGGCAGGGTAATAAACAATTTATGATTATTTGGCAAACCATTTAAAAGAGCACAAGTGGGGGCTTCCCTGGTGGCGCAGGGGTTAAGAATCCGCTTGCCAATGCAGGGCGCACGGGTTCGAGCCCTGGTCCGGGAGGATCCCACATGCTGTGGAGCACTAAGCCTATGTGCCACAACTACTGAGCCTGCGCTCTAGAGCCCGCGAGCCACAACTACTGAGCCCGCGTGCCACAACTACTGAAGCCCGCGCGCCTAGAGCCCGTGCTCCGCAACAAGAGAAGCCACGACAGTGAGAGGACCGTGCACCACAACAAAGAGTAGCCCCCACTCGATGCAACTAGACAAAGCCCATGCGCAGCCAAAAATAAATAAATTAAATAAATAAATTTTTAAAAATAAAAATAAAAAATAAATAAGAGCACAAGAGATGCAAAGGGGAGAACAAAAAATCAGTTTCCTGTTAGAAATGGCAAAGATTTAATTATATATTGTTTTTTTAAAAGGAGAGCCTATATTTTCCAAAATGTTGAATAAGCTTACAGTAAGTCCAAATATCAGAATTTCCAAGATGTGTATATATGCTAATTAAGTGATATTTTGGTAAATATATCTTCATTAATGTATGAATTTTGTGCTTGCTATTATATATAATTAATTAAGGGCAAGAATCACAATCTGCCCATGGATGTATTTCAATAATTTAAAATTTTTCACAAAGCTATATTTTATCTCCTAGTTTGTATGCACATGTCGCCACAGAGCCTTCATGTGTTTCTGCCTGGTGCACTGTAACTCAACACATTTTGTTGTATCATTGCGCAGTGGGGCACAGGACACTATAATTACCGCAAAATCACAGCAAAACTCTAAACCTTCTTATTGGTAAGAATCTTTTCATCAGCGAGGAAAACAGAGAAAGTGTGCCAAAGTGATTTCAGATAGCTGTATACTATCATTTATGAGACTTGTACTAAGGTTTATCTTTAAACACATACACAAAATGTAGACAGTGATAGTTGATACATATATGCATCGGTCTACAGCTTCCCTATTCCCATATTTATCTATGAGCTCTTCTGAAAAAATGGTGGTGGGGAATGACTTTTTTTTTTAATTGTGATAAAATGCACAAACATAAATTTTGCCATTTAAACAATTTTCAAGCATGCAATTCAGTGCCATTAAGTACGTTCACACTGTTGTGCAACCATCACCATTAACTATCTCCAGAACTTTTGCACCTCCCCCAGAGACTCTACACCCATTAAACATGAACTCCCATTTCCCTGGTCTCCTGAGCCCTGGTAACCACTAGTCAACTTTCTATCTCTATGAATTTGACTCTTGTACATACCTCATATAAATGGAATTATACAGACTTTGTCCTTTTGTGTCTGGTTTATTTCACTGAATATAATGTCTTCAAGGTTCATCCATGTGGTAACGTGTCAGAATTTCCTTCCTTTTTACAGCTGAATATCGTCAATAACGCTGCAATGAACATTGGTATACAAATATCTTAGTCCCTCTTTTCAATTCTTTTGGGTATATACCTAGAAGTGGAATTGCTTTATCATATGGTAATTCTGTGTTTAATTTTTTTAAAGGGATTATCATCTATCTTCTATAGAGGCTGCACTATTTTACATTCCCATCAGTAATGCATAGGGTTCCAATTTTTCCATATCAGGATGATTGTTTTTTAAGAATAAAAATATGAATTAAAATTTTGTGACAAAATTTCTCATCTTATTTCTTTTCATTTCTCTTCTATTTGTCACTTGATTTTATCACCAAAATCAAAACCACAGGATTTATGATGCAAGATTTAGTCTGATTAGAGTCCTAATTCCAAGAAGTCTTATGGAGAGGGAGAGTCCGAGAAAGTTAAAGTTATAAAAGTTAATTCACAGAATAGGTATGTGGAATGGGGTCAGAGGGCAGAGTTCCCTCCCTAAAAACTTAATGCTGTGCTACATTCCTTAGAACATGATGGCAAATTCAACGTACAACAAGAAGCTGAAAAGGAAGACAAAAGCAAGGTCTGAAGATAGCAAACTACAGGTAAGTATGTACAAATGAAAACAGTGAGTTTTGTCTTTCAGAAGGAAGTAGGATTAAAGATAATTAAATAATGTGCACCTACACTTTCTATGGCATACCGATGGAGAGGTAATCAAGAATTAGGATGACTATTTCTGAGATTTTCTTCAGACTGTTGTATAAGGTAAATGATGATAATTTGGTCTAAAATATTATATACATTTGTTTAGATAAAATAAAGGAATGTTTAAAAAATTGAAATTAAGTAAAATATTCAATATTTTAAACAGGGTAGAATTAGAATCATCATTTTAGAAATAGGGAGAATTATTTTAAAAAGTAAAATGATAGATTTATAAAGCAACTTCTTTAATTAACATACACAATATACAGTTTTTCAAGTTCATATAGTACACCTGTTATCACACTTTACAAAATATTCATGTAGACATTAAAATTCTAATGTTCCTAAATTTGTCTATACCATAATATTATAAAGGGAATATTTAACATATATATTTAACAATTTCATATAAAAAGATATTCTCCTAAAGGATAACAATAATTTTCACCTTACAAAACACAGTAATATAAACTTAAGGAAACAAAACGGCATTTTCCTGATAAATCCAAATTCTTATTAATGAGAGAATAAGATAATTTAGTTGAATTTTGTCAAAATTAATTCAAAAAAGAATTTCAGAATTATTATCTGGATATAATGGAATACTGCCACTATCTTTCAGAGTTACTTAAAAATTATTCACATAGGATTTTGATTAGTTGAGCTACTACATGCACATTGAGACTATTTCCAAGTAGACGATAACGCTGTTTGACTGTTGTCTTCTCAGGAAATCCTAGAAAAGAAAGGTAACAATTTATAATACAATCACTTGCAATATTAACTTCCAGAGATAAAAGGATGTATTCATTAGTAAAAGCAGCATGGTTATTTACATAAAGAAGTCCCTAAGGTCTCCATGAAGTTCAATTAACAAATGAGAATTTGGAGCCAAAAATATTATATAACATTTCATTGCTAACACAATGTGATATTATCATATCACTTATCGTATTTGCTCAGTACACACATGTACACACATAACATCCACAGAACTAATAGAAATCTGAGCACTAGTACACTTTAGGAAAAGCAGTGGCTACCATTATTTCAGTTATTTAATAACAGCCTTCAGGAGACAGAATTCACATACTATAAAATGCAGTTTTTCTTCTAAAGGGAGACTTATTTATTTATTTATTTATTTATTTATCCATTCATTCATTTATGACTATGCCGCATGGCTTGTGGGATCTTAGTTCCCCAACCAGGGATTGAACCTGGGCCCTCGGCAGTGAGAGCGAGGAGTCCTAACTGCTGGACCACTGGGGAATTCCCTAAAATGCACCTTTTTAAAGGGTACAGTTCAGTGGTTTTTAGTATAGTTGCAGAGTTTTGCATACATCCCCACTATTTAATGTCAGAACAGTTTCATCACCTCAGAAAGAAAGCTGGCCCACAGCTAACATCATACTCAATAATGAAAGCTAAAAATTTTCCTCTAAGATCAGGAACGAGACAAAGATACCCACTCTTGCCACTTTTATCCAACATGGTATTAGAAGTCCTAGCCAGAACAATTAGGCAAGAAAAAGAAATAAAAGGAATCTAAATTGGAAAGGAAGAAGTAGAACTATCACCATCTGCAAATTACATGATATTACACATAGAAAACTCTAAAGACTTCATCAAAACATGGTTAGAATAAATGAATTAAGTTGCAGTATATAAAATCAATATATAGAAATCTGATTTCTGTACATTAACAACAAACTATCAGAAAGAGAAAATAAGACAACAATCCCATTTACAGTCACATCAAAAAGAATAAAATACAGAGGAATAAATTTAACCGTTGATGAAAAAAATTGAAGACACAAATAAAGGTACTCCATGCTCATGAACTGGAAGAATTAATATTGTTAAAATGTCTGTATTATCCAAAGCAACCTACAGATTTAATGCAATCCCTATCAAAATTCCAATGGCATTTTTCACAGAAATAGAAACCACATCCTAAAATTCCTATGGCATCACAAAAGATCCCAAGTAGCCAAAGCAACCTTGAGGGAAAAGAACCAAGCTGGAGGCATCATGATGCTCCCTGACTTCAGACTACATTACAAAGCTAAAGTAATTAAAACAGTATGACATTAGCATAAAAAGACACAGAAATCAAAGGAACAGAATAGACAGCCCAGAAATAAACCCACACATATGTGGTTAATTAATTTATGACAGGGAGCTGAGAATATACAATGGGGAAAGGAAAGTCTCTTAAATAAATGGTGTTAGGAAAATTGGACCGATACATGCAAAAGAATGAAACTGTACCACTATTTTACATCATACACAAAAATTAACTCCAAATGAATTAAACACCTGAACGTAAGATCTCAAACCATAAAACTCCTAGAAGAAAACGTAGGTGGTAAACTCCTTGACATCAGTCTTGTCCATGGTTTTTTGGATCTGACTGTAAAAGCAAAGGCAACAAAAGCAAGAATAAACAACTGAGACTACATCAAACTAAAAAACTTCTGCACAGCAAAGGAAATAATGAGCAAAATGAAAAGGCAATCTACTGAACAGGAGAAAATATTTGCAAATCATATATCTGATAAGGGTTTAGAACCCAAATTATATAATGAAGTCATAAAATTCAACAGCAAAACAATAAATAATCAGATTAAAAAATGGGCAGAGAACCTGAATAAAAATTTTTCCAAAGAAGACATACAGATGGCCAATACGCACATGAAAATATATTCAACATCACTAATCATCAGGGAAATGCAAATCAAAACCACAATGAGATATTACTTCACATGTGTTATAATGGCTATTATCCAAAAGACAAGAAATAACAAGAGCTGGAAGGAACATGGAGAAAAGGGAACTCTTATGCATTGATGGCGAGAATTTAAATTGGTGCAGCCACGATGGAAAACGGTATGGAGGTTCCTCAAAAAATTAAAAATAGAACAATCATATAATCCACCAATTCCACTCTGGGTATTTATCCAATGAAAACAAAAATACTCATTAGAAAAGATACATGCACCCCCATGTTCATTGCAGCATTATTTACAACAGACAAGATATGGAAACAACCTAAGTGTCCATCGATGGGCAAATGAAAAAAGAAAATGCACACACACATACGCACACCATGGAATACTACCCAGCCATGAAAAAGAATGAAATGGACCTTGAGGGCATTATACCAAGCGAAGTCAGAGAGACAAATACTGTATGATCTCACTTATATGTGGAATCTAAAAACCAAAGCAAGCAAACAAACAAATTTTAAAAACCAAGGTCATAGATACAGAAAACAGATTGGTGGTTGCATGGGTGGGGGAAATAATGGGTGAAATGGGTCAAAAGGTACAAACTTCCAGTTATAAAAATAAGTAAGTCCTGGGGATATATAATGTAGAGCATGGTGACTATAGTTAGTAATACTGTATTGCATATATGAAAATTGCTAGGAGAGATCTTAAAAGTCCTCATCATAAGAAAAAAGAATTTTGTAACGATGTATGGTAATGGATATTAACTAGATTTATTATGGTGGGTGATCATTTTGCAATGTATACAAATGTTGAATCATTATGTTGTAATGTTGTACATCTGAAACTAATACAATGTTATATGTTAATTATATACTTCAGTACAAATTTTTTTAAAAAAGAATGCTGGCACCCATTAGCAGTCACTCTTCATGTCCCCTCCCTGCCCCTCAACTAGTGATCTACTTTCTGTTCTAGAGATTGCCTATTCTGAACACTTCATACAAATGGAACCACACAATGTTGTCTTTTGTCTCCGGCTGCTTTCGCGTAGTGCTTTCAAGGTTCATTCATGTTGATTCTGGAATATTTTTTAAAAGCAAAGTATTCTATGTTTAATATCTTAGTCCTTATAATAACATTATGTATTAACAATATTATGTATGTTGTATAATACGACTATAAAATATAGTGTAACTCAAACATCAAGCACATCAGTAAAAATTATCTGATCCGAAGGAAAAAATGGCTCATTCATGTTATAACATGTACCAATAGTTCATTCCTCTCTCTGTCTGAATAATATTCTATCTTATGGATATACCACATTTTATTTATTCACTCATTCATTCATTAATAGACATCTGGGTTTTTTCCCTACTTCTTGATTATTATAAACATTGATGTTATGAACATGTACGTATGTATGTATGTGTTAAGCTTTTTTCAGTTCTCTTGGATATACACCTGGGGTGAAATTGTGGGGTCATACAGTAACTCTGTGTCTAACATTTGAGGAACTGCCAGAATGCTTTCTAAGTCAGCTGCACCATTTTATCTTCCCACCAACAGTGTAAAAGGGACCTGATTTCTCCACAATTTGTTAACACTGTTATTGTCTGTCTTTTTGTGAAGTGGTATCTTACTGTGGTTTTGATTTACCTTTCCCTAATACCGAATAATGTTTAACAACTTTTCATGTGCTTATTGGTCATTTATCTATTTTCTTTGGAGAAATGTCTATTGAAATCCTTTGCCCACTTTTAAATTGGATTATTTTTCTTTTTATTGTTGAGTCATAAGAGTTCTTTATATATTCTGGATACAAGTCCCTCAGAGTTGCTTTTTCACATTCTGCTTCCACAAATTGACATTCTCATACTGAAGTTCAATTTGCTACATTCTTTTACAAAACAAAATGGCCCACAGATACTACATTTGCTGGAACAAAACCTTGCACATACCACCGTAAAAGACTGTCCATGCATAAGAGTGGATGCCAGAATCTTAGTTACAATTCCAGAATTTCACATTCAGAATCCTTTGGCATAGCAATTAAATATAGGAAAAGCAAATCAGGTAATAAAGGAAATAATTAAAGAGCATTAAAAATAGCAAAATTTCATATAGCAAAATTTCAAAACCTGATAAATTGCTTCATCAACACTAGACATTATACTTACTGCAATAAAATAACAGTGATTACCGTAATAAAATGATTTTTGCAATTGAGCATGATCATAAAATTGCTATTATAAAGATAATATGTCTTAGGCAAGCACATTAGTCATCTCAAATTATTTACTTCAAAGTAGCCAGAGGCAGAAATACCTACAAACTTTTAGACTACCCCTAGGATGATGTCTTGAGATATCAAGATTATATCAGAGGGGAAGAAATGTCTGAAAACAAACAAGTCAGATTTGTAAAAATTATATATATATACACACACAAATATACACATATATACATATGCATGTGTGTATTTTATACATAGATATTAAAATCTAAACTCACTTTTGGAAAGAATTATATAATTTTGTAAAGTTAAAAGGTGACTTTTTAAAAACTTAGGTACATTAAAAATAATAATCCTCAAAGGCAAAGAAACCTAGAATTAACAAGGTCAAGAGAGCAGCTTTTATTCAGTAAGTGTCAGTTAGTGTCTGTCTCTTCCAAAGCCTGCTGTCTCATGAATGCGTGCCACTGGCCACAAAGAGAACCAGGGCAAAATGTGCAGGAGAATCAATGCAAATCCACCATGGCCGGTGGACAAGCAACTCAAAGAATGCCCATTTTGGACCCAGGGTCCATGACATCAGAGGCACACGTGCAGGACAGTTCTGTCACAGGGCTGCTCAGTGGTGACAGCAGGGCACTGACTATATACATATATCACATATTTTAAAATAAGGTAAAGCAATTAAAAAGGCTTTCTCGCATGTATTATACATATATTTTCAGAGAACTTCGAAAAATCCTATTTTACCCCTTAGATATTTTTAAATACTGAGAAAAAATATTTATGAAGGCTATAACATCTATCATTTAAAATATAAAAGCACGAATTTTATATTATGTGTCAGATAGGTTGTAAGCATGTGACATACGTTAACTCACTTAACTGTTACAACAGCTCTATGAAGTCAGTGCTATAATTATCCCCATTTTACAGATGCAGAAACTACGGCAGAGAGTGGCTTCAGTAGGGCTAGGATTCACACTCAGTCAGTCTGACTCTGGGGTCTGTGCTAAATTTCACTATTACCAAAGTGATTGCTACTGCTTGAAAAAATAAGCACTCCAATAAAACTTAGAAATTAGTTGCTGTCAGACGGTAAATCTCTTTTCTCTCTGTAGTAGTACAGAAAATACCTTTGATTGCTCATCCTAAAAAATGAAAAAAAAAAAAAAAAAGTAACCAGGACAGTAGACTGGGAATTAAATTCCTGAGTCCAATTCTCAGTTCTTTGTTTTACTGATGTTCTCACTCACTTTGTGACATAAACTAAGACACGGAAAGTCTATGTTTTCTTAAAAAACACTCCCCGGGATGTTTCAAACTGAATGAGATCACCAAGAAAAAGGCAGAGAGTACAAAATAAACCTGGTTGCTGTGACTATGCTTGGAGAATCAATTACCAAGAGGGTAGTCAAATTCTGTTGGCAGTTTGTTCCCAATGTACAAAAAGATGCTTTCCGAACCTCAACTGTAAATCCATTATTTAGATTTTAAAACATGGTCTATTTAAACCATGATGTTCTTCAAGAATAGGACTGTATTAATATTACAACAATATTAGATTTAGCGAAGTTTGGCTTTTCTGCATTCAAGCTCCCAATCAGTTATCAAAAGCACATTTCCTCCTTGTGCAGCCCTGGAAGCATGTGAGGGAGGTCTGTGTCTCTCCCTTCCCATGAGCCAGGTACTAGGAACACACCTACCGCAGCCCAGGAAACCGATGGCATCCACACAGTAAGAGCAGCAGTGCCAAGGAGGCAGGACCAGGGAGGGCGGGGTGCTCTAAGAAGCAAAGGCTCCGTGTCCAGTCTCTTAATAGCAACAATCCCTGGCTTTCCTCACTACCTGTCTTTCTCCCTTGGCAATGGTATCTTCATTTTTCTTCTTGAGAGTCCATCTTCAGATTCCCTAATTTCGTGTCAATTCTGGCATCTGTGCTCCTGAGTCACCCTTACTTTCCATTAGGAAAGTTCCTTTCTAGACCACCTCTCCACTTTTTCTTTTCTCCACTTAAACCTTGTAGGGAAGGAATCAATTATATCAATTATATAATTGATAAGAGTGTTATCTTCGAGGAGTAGAAGTACAAATAATACCTCCCCACCACACAAAAATAAATTCCTCAATTGCCTGTTAATTTCTTCATTAAAAAAAAGACAATTCTGGGCATTCTTTCATAAGATCTAGTGTGAGGTTATTCAAATAGTACTCCTAGAAGCAAAAAGATAAATTCGAGAAAGAGATGCTATTGGGGCTTCCCTGGTGGCGCAGTGGTTGAGAGTCCGCCTGCTGATGCAGGGGACACGGGTTCGTGCCCCGGTCCGGGAGGATCCCACATGCCACGGAGCGGCTGGGCCCGTTAGCCATGGCCGCTGGGCCTGCGCGTCCGGAGCCTGTGCTCCGCAAACGGGAGAGGCCACAACAGTGAGAGGCCTGCGTACCCACCCCTCCAAAAAAAAAAGAGATGCTATTAACAACCATCTGTAGGGAGAAGTGAGGAATTGCTGATTTGGCCCTTCTGTTCCTGCAAAGCACCTGGAACCATTACTGGAGCAAAAGGAGAAGGGGAACTGAGTCTGAAGGGAATGGACTAGGGCAGGTTATGAAGAAAGCAGACACAGGAGGAAGCGCTCTCACATCTGTCTGGGCAAGGGTTTATTCATAAACTATGCACGAGTCCCTAATGAATTTTGAGACCTTTAATCAGTGAAAGCTGGGGTCTGCATGTATCCCACATACCGAACTCTGGAGGAAATCCAAGGAGATTTGCTATTTCTTTAGGAGTGAAAAATCGAAGTTGAAGCATTAACAATCTTGTTATCTTTTCTTCTTGTGACAAATTGGTAAGGGATTTGTAGATACTCTCAATCTGTAGGAGAACATCCAAAGTAACTAATAAAGTAGAGTGCAGTTAGACTTGTTAAGATAAACTTTAAACTTGTGAGACAGTTTAAAAAGGATGGACGCATAGTCTTCTGTAACACATGGCGGCACAGGGTGAAAACGTCTCTGTGCAATGAACTGTGTAACTGGCTCATCAAGGGCCAGATAAACTCAGGAAACAAACAAAACCTTAATGTTGAATAGATCAGGATACTCTCAGTGTATCTGTCATTTTTGGTTCCTCAAAAATTAACTCATAAGAATAGAAATAATAAATGACAATATAACATAAAAGAAATGTAGTGAAAGATACAAAAAAGAAACTTGGTCAACCAATAAGTCGATTTTACAAAGCAAATAAGCAGCCATTAAAATGTTTACTGTTTATGACCAATTTTATCAAATTAAGATATTGTCTTAAAATGATAAAATATATTTAATAAATATGACTTCTCAAATCCAGACATTCGTTTGTCTCTGATAGGGTTTTTAGCAAGGGTAAATTTTATTAACAGTAAGAGTTTAAATCAGCATAAAAGAAGATAATGTGATTTCACTTCAAAATTATTCAGAAGTATATAAAACTTGCAATATATCAAGCTTGTATTCAACCATGATACCGTAAAGAAATAGCAATTGAAGTATTAATAAAAAGCCTTCCTAAAATATAGATTTTTTTCCCTAACAGGCATTTTTGGAGCCTAACAGTCTCCAAAGGAAGGCTCCAATACTAAGATATTTATGCATAATTTTAGAGAACATTAAGTACTGTACTCTGCATTTCAAATTCCTCTTCATGGAATAGAAAGAAAAACAAAAGGTAAGAAGAAAAAAAAGAAAGTAAAAACATAAAACACTTTTTGTACATATACTCATATCTAGCAACAAGAAGATTTATTCTATAGTAAATAATTATTATATACACATATTCATTCCAGTTGAACATGTAAACTTATTTTAACATTCTCAAATTTTAAGTATGAAAGATAATTTTATTTAAAATAGTTTTCAAATATTTTAGTTCTGCAGCACGCATAGTACCTGCACATCCTCTGTAGTCTGCAACACAGATCCTGTCCCTTCTATGTAGCGTCCATAACTAAAAAATTAACACAAATATTTTGTAGCATCTAATATATTTGCTAATGCTAAATTTCTTAAATATTTCTTGAATGAATCAATCTTACATAGTTGTTAATACATCCTTCTGAAATATTCTAAATAATATCACATAAATATGCTTTGTAATTAAAAAACTTACCAGGTGAAAGACATAAGATCAGTCTGTTGAAAATTCTCAGACACTAAACTTGGCATAGTTTTTGTTGTATAAATACTAGTCTGCATATACATTACTGTCATTTTTTAAATGTTCATCACATTTAAATGCACAGAAAGTGTGCATTTGTTATGACTTTATATCTAAATGCTATTCAATACTGACATCCCTGCCACATTAGACCAAATGTTATGTAGGTGAAAATAAATTGCTGCTCTTTTCTTATAATGCCTGAACCATCATTTCTTCTCATGAACCCAAAACCGTACTCTCCAGTCTCATGACAAACTCAGGCCCACCAAACGTGCATCTGCCTCTTAGTAACACTGTATGTTTTTACTCTTTATCATAAAACAGACTATTGTTAAAAATGTATTAAAAATACCAAACACTACAGAAATGCAAGGTATTAGTAATATTTCTTTCTCTAAGATCATTGCCAAGCTGGCTGTTTGACATTTTATCATTTTTTCCTAATAGATGAATTTAAAATAGAAATTAGAGAAAGTCACCATCAAAGAAAAGCTGTTTTCTTATATATCACGTGTGTGTGTGTGTGTGTGTGTGTTTATATTATCTACACTAAAATAGACTTCTACAATAAGGCTTCTTTTATACCATTTTTATAATTATAAAAGAATTTCAAAGTTGTTTTTTATTACAAAATTGATAATTCCTGTTTTATGAGAGTCCTAAACAGAACCTAGCAGACTTGGAAATATACAACAGCTGAGTGAAGTCTTTTAAGGTAATGGAAAGCAATAAACCCATTGCCCTGAAAGTACAAGGGCAGGGTATGATAAAGTCAGGGTGAGCCTGGTACGATGATGTCGGGGGCATAGTGTCTTGTACAAGACAACTAGCTAGTAGGTAAAGAGAGAAGGCTTGAATTTTTTTTAAAGAAGATGTTGGGGGTAGGAGTTTATTAATTAATTTATTTATTTTTTGCTATGTTGGGTCTTCGTTGCTGTGCGAGGGCTTTCTCTAGTTGTGGCAAGCAGGGCCCACTCTTCATCGCGGTGCGCGGGCCTCTCACTGTCATGGCCTCTCTTGCTGCGGAGCACAGGCTCCAGACGCGCAGGCTCAGTAGTTGTGGCTCATGGGCCTAGTTGCTCCGCGGCATGTGGGATCCTCCCAGACCAGGGCTCGAACTCGTGTGCCCTGCATTAGCAGGCAAATTCTCAACCACTGCGCCACCAGGGAAGCCCGAAGGCTTGAATTTTTAAATCATACAACTACCTATCAAAAGAGCTTCAGTGACATTAACAAACAGGGGTAGGGATGGATCTTTTATAAATTTTTCTTGAAGGGTCTAATTTCCCCCCTTCTTCCTAGGTTTAAAAAAAAAAAGTTGAAAAACACTATTTCTTGAGAAATAATCCAAAGGATGTCCCCTAAATGCCCATCAACAGGTAACCAGTAAGAGAAATTATGATATACCTATACTATGAATATACGAAAGTTCTTTAAGCACCCATAGGTAATAATATCCAAATTATACTGTGCAATGAAAAAAAGTGCACATAATAATGAATATAGTATGCTACCATTTACTTAAAGGAGGGGGTAAAAATATACATGTATATTTAAACACACCTCACATGCAATACCTCTGGAAGACTAGAGAGTAAACTGAAATCATCGGTTGCACGTAGGGAGGGAAACTGGATGAACAAGAGGCAGAATTGGAAGGGAGTCTTACAATCTTAGTTCCTTTTGAATTTTGAACCATAAGAATATACTACTAATTCAAAAGACTAAATAAAAGTTAAATATGCTATAATGTGTTCCAGGATATTCAATGTTATTTCTTGATATTAAAATTTAATTTCTTCTTGTACATTGATCATGAAAGTGGACAGAAATTTTTGAGGTACCATAAAAAGAAAGGTGCTAAAAAATTAGCAAGTCACCATCTATAGAAACCATGTCTCCACTGTGGGTAATTAAGCTCCTATGAAGGTCACCAAACAATGGCATTGTCTTCTATGAGCACTTTTGTGGGTTGTGCACATCATGTTCTGCCAGAAGGAATTTTCACTTGTGCATTCTACTGGAACAGGAAAGCAGGCAATTAAGGATGAAAAAAAATCATTCTAGCAGAAACATTTTATAAAATGCTCCTTGTTTTGAGAAGAACTAAGAGAAACAATAGTTATGAAAACCAGGTTATTTTGGATATGCCATGAACAGAGACTCTTTAAAACCTACCCTTTCGTAAAGCATGTGGACCTTCTGGATGTGGGCTTAACAATGTCTAACAAAAGAGCATATCGCAGCAATGACTTTGGTGGTAAAAAGTATGAATTCATGTCAATGTCATCTTCAAGAAAATCTCTTAGCATTCGCACAGAGAGATCACTGTCCTGTTGACGTTTCCTGTCAATTTCTCCTGCAGTTTCACGCTTAAAAAGAATGGCCTCTTTTCCAGAACATTGTGTGCTGCTATCAAAGCAAATATTTGGCTCAATTTTCTTTTCTTCAATTTTCTTTTCTGCATCTATCGCATGTTTTTGTGGATGTTCAGATTCAGTTTGGGGGAACTCCATCAGTACCTGGCATTAAGTAAAAATACACAAACTCTCAAAAGCTTTCTTAAAAATAAAAGACATATTAATAACATCCATTCAACATTATGTAAAAAAATTCTTTAGCTTTTACTGAGTTGTCATTAAAAAGATAGAAATTGATAGTATTTATACAAGTTATTACAAGTTTTTCAGCATAAAGTGATAGGTATCAGGCTATAGATGATTTATTTCATTTATTTCATGAAATTACTGCTTTCGGAATTAATAAAACCATTCAACAAAGTAATAGGAAGTATGTTGAATACAGAGACAGCATTATATTTGGAAAAGAAGTTGAAAAAGCAACAGGAACATTTCCAGAAAATGTGTTTTTGATCAAAGTTTGCCATTCCCCTTCAATTAAAAAAAAAAAACTAGAACATACCCATGATCTAAAGGAAAATTAGTCATTAAAAATGAAAAGCACTCTTCACCCTGAAAGGTTATTTCTATCCCTGAGTCCCACAGGAAAAACTTGTTCCTGCAAAACAGGTAACCATTTATAAAGTCCTATTTTGGGAAAGAAAAAACAGTTCCAGGAATTTTTAATGATGAAGTCTTTGTTCACATACTTTATATACCATTTTTGGAACCACCCACTATTAAAGGGAAATATATTGCTATTTTATTATATAACACAATATTGTATAATACTGATATTGTATTATGGGGGATTCAAATGATGCTACTGAAGCCCTGTTAGTAGGACATGACTTTTGAGTTCTTACCTGTGAGGATTATAGAGAGCTTCACTGGACCACTGAAACTCTGTTATCCACACCAATTTTCAGCGGAAGCATATAAAATTGCTAGCATAATGAGAGATCCTATATATAGCAATTGAGCATTTTATTCTAGCTTGTGCTAATCATTACCATATTTTAATCAATTAAGGCTAAAGAGCATAGATTTCAAATAAAATGCAACTGATGTGTGAAAATACTCAAGCCATTTTTAAGATAGTATACTATTTTATCAAAAGTAGTCAATGGCTTCTATTGAGGGAGAAAAATAATAGATGCAAAAGAGTCCATGGTCAGAAGAGAAATTATAGGGGGAAAGAAGGATAACAACACTAATGGTAATTTTTTTACTTTTAACTTATTTTTTTTCTAATGACGAAAGAAAAGTTTCTGGTTTTGTTTCAAGCAATTAAAGTGGCATCAGGAGGGTGAAAAGGCCTACAAGACAAACCTCAGGCATAGTCTATATTACAGGCATGAGAGGACACACATAAACCTCTGCGAATATACTCCAATAAAGATGTTGAAAAAGAAAAAAAAAACCTCCGCAAAGTAGTTCCTGAAAATAAATTAGCAGACTGAGATATATTTACAACAGATAAATAATAATGATGATGATAACAACAATAATAATAATAATACCTGACCAGGGGCTTGAAAAGGGAACGGCACTGACTGAAGCTTTGCAATAAGGAAATACCGTAGCCTTGAATTTGGAATGCCAAGCTGCAAGTACAAAGGGCAGTTAGTTGCTATAGGATATTAAAGAGATCTGTACCAACTTTTAGCACCTAGTAAAAAAACTCATACAGTTATACATTAGTTTCTGCCAGACAAAATTCTATTAGCGATTTGTGGAAGACTTCTCTGTAGCAAATTCTTAAACCTTTTAAACTGTCACTCTGTACCTTTATTTGAATGAAATAAAGATGGAATCAGATGAATCATATGTCTATGAGTCACTTTCATTTTATATTTCCCAGGTAAAAAGTCAAATAGACATTCTTACATTCATTATGAATAGTATAGTAATCATAAAAAAATAAAATTCACATATAGCTATAAAATTCAGATAGAGAAAGTAATAACCATGTCAGAACTAACTGCAAGATTTACCTATAATATTATCCAAAATAGAGCCATTCTTTTTACTGAATCAAATTCCGTTTGGGAAAATTTATATAAGAATTTACAATTGCAGTACTTACAGAGGTTGGAGACAACAGAAATTCTTGGTACTGAAAGCCACAATTTCCTATTGTTTGTATTAACAGGTCTCTGAAAAGGCAAAGGGAAAGAAAAAAGCTTTCACTCTATAGTTCAAAATAGGGTTCTTATATAAAATATTATACATAAAACTTCATTTTACATGAAAACTGTACCTCCACTTATGTTGTTTAGAAAAAGAATAATCCTATGTCTTTTTTTTTTTTTTTTTATACACAATGTATTTATTTATTTATTTATTTATGGCTGTGTTGGGTCTTCATTTCTGTGCATGGGCTTTCTCTAGTTGTGGCAAGTGGGGGTCACTCTTCATCGCGGTGCGCAGGCCTCTCACTATCGCGGCCTCTGTTGTTGCAGAGCACAGGCTCCAGACGCGCAGGCTCAGTAATTGTGGTTCACGGGCCCAGTTGCTCCATGGCATGTGGGATCTTCCCAGACCAGGGCACGAACCTGTGTCGTCTGCATTGGCAGGCAGATTCTCAACCACTGCGCCACCAGGGAAGCCCCCTATGTCTTTTTTAAGTCCAGTACTTGAGAAATTACATTTCTCAAAAAAGAGATAATCCCTATTATAAATAAATAAAGTTACCAGATAATTTATAAAACTGGTGAGTTAGAATCACCAATCCTCTCATGATAAGCTTACTATAGGAATGGAACTATATCTGTAGCCAGTCAGATGGGGGAACACTGTCACAGACAGCAGGTCAGTCAAGGACTTGGATGCATTCTCTCCAGCTGGGCTACTGTCTGAAAGGGGCCTGACACAGGGCTTGCTTCTTCAGCCCAACTGTAGGACAGAAAACGCCTGTCAATAGGACGAATTCTTACGGAAAACATTCCTACTTCTAAAGAAATAGGCACTAATGTAAGCAGCTAAAATTGAGAAATACCATCTCATTAAAATGAGTAACCATTCTGGAAAAATGCAAACATATCAAAATGCGAAAGAATCAGCTGAACCTAACTTTGTGATACTTCACGTTACTAACTATTCAAAATCAATACTAATGAATAAACTTCATAACATATATAAAATGTCAGAATATACACATTTATTTTCAAGATCTTCATTTCGTAACAGCTCCTATTATAAAATATACCAAGTCTAAGATGAACACAGGACAAATACATTTTTTTACCTTGTAGAAGATACTTCAAAACCTTTAACATTTTCTAAAAGAATATACTTTGGTAATTTTTGTAACCTAAAAAAAAAACAAGAACAAATGGAATTCCAAACATCTCATTACTAAGAAGTAAGAAGTAAAGAAAATCCTTACTTGTGGGAAATATGAGGTAAGTAACTGTCCAAACTCTTTTTATAAAAGAATTTTATAAGGGACGGAGACAACTCATATTTTATTCCTTTCCCCCATAAACAAGGCACACCTGATAAAGTTAATATTTGAAATGTTAATTTCCATTGAAGTTTAATGAAAACATGGGGTTGCACAGCTCAAAGGGCTGACATTTCCATAGAATGGAGGCTTCTAGGGTTAGCAGCACAAGTTTCTAGGCCATGGGCAACAGCATTCACTAACATTAGCATCGTTTGCACAAATACTGTGAGCAGAGGCAACAGAATTCAGCTATTAGGCTGTCACTCACTTTTAGCAGCAACTGTGGAACCGACAAACATTTGCAGTTACTCTTATCAGTCACGACAAAAGATAAATGACTCGCACAGAATCTGTATAAGATGCTAAACTCTACAAAATGACAAACACCACGTTCTTCCAGATGTAAAGTTTTACATTTAAGGTAAGCTTGTACAGGAATTTAAGTTTTTACCTCGGGAGAATGTCTAGAATATATAAGAAGCTATTTGTCCTTGGATCAGTCACATCACCTTGCAGGCCGATTCTAAAAGGGTATGGAAAGTAAATAAGTTCAGCAAGAATCTTACATAAAGATATCAAATCACTTTTAAAAAGTCAAAAGAGAGAACTAAAATTAGTTGGTCCTCACAAAAAATATGATCATCTCTGTTGCCATAGAGAACAAAAATATATTTTTTCATTTAATTTAAAAAAGCCTTGCCTAATAAATACACTTATTATCAATACAAGATAACATGTCCAAATGACTTGCATGAGGCAAAGAAGAATAAGAAGTCCACAAAGAATAAAATCAATTACCCTCTTAAATCACTTTGTTCAGGAAAGACACACACACACACACACACACACACACACACACACAATTAGCTGATGACACCTTTTGCTCTGCCCCAGGTGAGACAACAAAAGTTCAGATGAATGAGCTGGTTGGGCAGGGTGGCAGTGTAGAGTTGATGGCATTGGTAACTAATCACCAGCTAAGCAGATGAAGGTAGCAGGTAAAACTAGAACTATCTTGTCCAATGTAAACAGGAGAGACTGAAGCTGAACGCTTGATTCTACACGAAGGAGTTGCAACTTGGCTAGACTAAGTAAGTCAAAACGGGTCATGTGAACAGGCAGAATTTGGACTAGCAGTTAAATCTTCCAAGTAACATCCGATATGATCAAGAAGCAAGCAGAAAAGAAGACTTATATTGGGCGTGAGTCGTAGCAACAGAGGACTAGGGTTTAAGGCCTTGCTACTTACTAGCTTCGTGGTCTAAAATAAGTTACTTGACATCAGTTATCAGTTTCCTCACACCTGACAGCAGGACCAAAATCATCAGTGGATCTGAGGCTCAGATGGGAGATTAGAGTGGACTTGAATAGATTCCTCAGAAATCTTGGTTTCCTCTCATTTTGTCCCTTTCCTCTCAGTGTTCCAAAGATGATCGTACTACAGGATCAGACACTGCAGCCGTCAGCAGCTGGAGTTGGGCTAATACAGAGTGGGAGCAGCAGTAGGGAAGACACAGGGGCCCCACTGCAGTGATATCTGAGGCATCACAGCACTGGGGCTGCATTCTGTCCTGAACCTCCCACTTACTGTGGGTGAAAAGGCCATAATACACTTGCACAGGCTCGGAGCCATCTTTACGCGGAACTTCCGCCTTCACTGATAAATTCCCAACCTGCTTTCAGACACAATACAGATATCACCTCTAAAAGAATTCGTCCCTCCTGGTATATGCAGCAACATAACACCTCTCTCCTCCATGCTCTCATGGCAGTTTCAGCATTCATTTATTATATACCTTAAATCACATTATAAGATAACTATTTGTCAGTCATTCCCCATGGACTATAAGTTCTATAAGGATGGGAATTACAGCATCAAAAGCAATACCTCATGTGTAGGTGCACAATAAATCCCTGGGGAATTAATTTCCTAGAAAACTTGAAATAAATCAAAACTTGGATGGAAATTAAGCATGAGAATATTTATTTAAATTAGAATTTTTACTACATGTTATATCCCATTTAAAATCACATTATGTGTTGAAATAGGACTATATATTAATAGTCCTATATATTAATAGGACTATAAAATAATCAAAAAGTCCTGGCTCTGACATTTTCTAATTGTATGGCCTTGGGAAAGCTACTTAACCTTTCTATGCCTCAGTTACTCACCTGTAAAATGATGATAATACTAATGCCCATCCCATAAGCTTGTCATATTAAATGACATACTCCAGTAAGACACTCAGAGGGTTATCACTATTATCATTATTACTTAAAATAATTGAAATATTATTATTTAAAGTATCTAAATGAAGAGGGATTAGTCAAGATTTTATCTAAAATATAATTCCCTGAAATACATAGCCAAATAAACACCATATAATAAAAAGCTGTCTTGGAACACAGCTTTAAAAAGTCAGTTTATTAATTGTATATATTATTAAATGTACCTATCAATTTTGAGAAATTTAAAATTCACAAATGCATTCTTTTTTTTTATTTTTTTATTTTTTACAAATGCATTCTTGACTAGCCTTAAAATTTTACAGGTAAGTAATTTAGGATTTGAATATTAACTATGGAAATTTACTTGATTAATCAGTGTTAGGAAGATATTCCTAAATGCTCATTAGTTTAAATAATTTAAGGTAATTTGGGTCAGAAATAAATACTGTATCTTTGGTAGGTATTAAGGAGGTACCATATAGTCTCTGCATACCTACTATTGACCAAATTACTGTGTTCATCTGGCAGTAATTGCTATTTTCTTTATGATTAATGCTGAATTATAAATGTGTGTAGAGAAAAGGAATTATTGATGAAAAATTTCAAAACTAGGGAAATGCAGCTGATGGACTTCAAAGTGCCTGTGCTTGAAATTACAGTGTGATTTGATTGAATGAGTCCTTCAAAGGTACTTTTCCTAACAGAGAAATATTTATTATACATACCTTGTGAATGGCTGACAGGGAGGGCTCATTAAAATCATATTGAAAGATAATCTGTCAAACTCTTCTAGTGTAATACCCTAAGGAACGAACATGTAGGGGGAAAGAAAAAATATAAAAACATGCGTAGAAGGGGGCAGAAGGAAAAACGCTAAGTAATTGCAAGTAAATACATCAGAAATTGTGACACTTAACTTTATTTATAACACTTAAAAGTTTATAAAACACCTACTACTTTTTAAATAAACTTTAGTTAAACTAACGTTCCAAAGCAATTTTGTGAAGGAAGTCGAGCCGTAAGCTGAAGCTATGAAAAATTAAGTGACTTCCCCCAAACTCGAGAGCCAGCCAAAACAGAGCTGGAAAGCTAGTTTCCTAGATGCTATAAGTATTTTGTGCCTCTATGACACCTCAAGTCTAAGACTGCTGTGATTTCTGGAATCAAACATGGAAAACTTTATTTTATAATTAATGATTTCCAGCAAAGGATCTAGGGAATTTTTTAATACCTCTCTATTAATATTATTTATTTAGAAAATGTGATGTATTGACCAGTCACCATCCCTTTCATGTATGTCTCTGGCAATATATCACCAAATGGAAAAAGGTCCCATTTTCAGATATCCGCAATTACTATACTGTTTTACAGTTGTGTGTAGTCAAAGGACCTCAAAAGATTGTAGATAAGATTAATCAAAATAATCCCTATTGGGCTAAATAGTTTTAAAATGTACTCTTTTGCTCCTATTTTATATACAGTATCAGAAGACAAACAGAGAAATACAAGTCATGGATTTGCCAATTCTCATTAAGCTCTCTTAGTGTACACTCTTACCCAGGAATTTAAAGCCATAAGCCCAGAATCACAACATTCCTAATTACAACACATTTCTAAGAAGTCTGAGTTCGTGAATAAAGCAGGAAAAGCTTTATTCTGAATTCTGAAAAGAGTGACTTAACCTGGGGAACACATCAGTTTTCTCTACTGTATTAAAAATTTGAATGTACATGTCTATCGTTTTTAAATCACAGGTTTTTAAGTAGTTTAAGACATATATGTAAAAAGAAATAAAAATTAAATACTGAAAAGTTCCTAAAGCACCTCTGGATCCCAGAGTTCTAAAGAAAACAATCTGAAAATCATACACTCAACAGTCTGTCAGGAAACCTGGGGCAGGGCAGTAAGATTAGCACACATACTCAAGTTACACAGCTGGTCAGCACAGGACTATTAGGAAAAGCAACTTATTTATTTCACAACTGATTGTGAACAGAGTAAAGCTGAATTCCTAAAATGAAAATAAAAATCAAACAACAATCTTTTACATAAGGAGAATCCTTAAGTCTAGAATCTAAAGGAAGTAAACAGAGTTAATGCCTCCAATACTGTTAGACATAAAAAAATTTACAATTTTAAAGGATTCTTGGAAAGAGTGATTTTTTTTTTTTACAGTACAACCCAAATGACAGAACAGTTATGCAAAACATAATCACTCAATTAAACCATTCACAACTGTCTTTAACCTAGCATTCTAGGTCAAGGAATGTGTTGGGATTCAAGAAAGTAGTTACAGAGATGCATGGATTAACGTTAATAATTTGATATTTTAACACTAATGGAAATCAAATTCTTTTTCCATAAACAGGCCATTCAAGCTAATAAAAACATCCTTGCTTTCAGAGAACATTAGACCCACTCGATGTGGTAACACTGTTTATCGCATGTTGATGAGCAACTTTGTTTGTCCCCCTACTTGTTTTATTACTTCTTTTCTCAAAAAGCTTCCTGATTATTCTTATACTTAATTTTCATTTAAACTTTAGGGAGACCTTGGTAGATTAGAAAACAACAACTTTTGACTATTTTAGTGAATTTATTGTTAATCTAGAGAGAAATAAAATTTTGTGGCACAAGGTAAGTCTTCAATAAAAACTTACCGAGTGATATTCCCTACCATTTCCTGCCCTATGAACTCTGATGTTATTTTGTTCATGAATACTCATGACAATTAGATCTTTCTTGAGCACTGTACGAATCATCATTATAAAGTAACTTTCTATGACTCGTAAATGCTTTTTGCTTTCAGACAGATCTTACCTAATACATATCAGTTCTGAAACCCCTGTTATCCTTTGTTATGATTTGCCTGACATTTTTTCATTTTTTAGGCACAATGTGTTATTCATTAAACAAGGTTCATAAATTAATCCACCAATATTTCAGAGCATCTACGACACACCAGGCATTGTGCTAGTCTGGGAATACAACAATGAACAAACCAGACAAGGTTTCTGCTCACATATTTATATTGTAGTGTCTAGTAATTTTCCATTTTCTACCGAGATAAATTACAGATTTTAGTTTTATTACTATTTATCTTTGTAACTGGTGAATCCTGCTCCTGGTTAAAAACCTACATGAGGGACTTCCCTGGCGGTCCAGTGGTTAAGACTTTGCCTTCCAATGTCGGGGGTGCGGGTTCAATCCCTGATCAGGTAGCTAAGATCCCACATGCCTTGGGGCCAAAAAACCAAAACAAAACAGAAGAAATATTGTAACAAATTCAACAAAGACAATTTTCAGGCCTGACTATAGGCAACGAGGAGGGCTTCACCCAGCGGGTGGCAGGGGAAAGCCACCCTCCCGGCTCCAGACCTGGTGCACCCTCCCGGCTCCAGCACCTTGCAGTCTCTGAGGGCAGGGTGGGTGCGAGCTGTCAGGCCCCCAGCAGCTCATGCTCTTCATATATTTGCATTCCTAGGTCTCTTTACCTGAGGCCTTGCACAAAGCCCTCTTCAGGCGCCATCTATTTCTGCCAAGGCCTCTGTCTAGGAGGAAGAGGGGAGCCCTTGAAGATACTTCTCCCACTATGACTAACGCGTGGCCCTGCTCACTCCCAGCCTTCTCCCCACTGCCCGCACTCTCTCCCCCAATGCCGGGGCTCCTCAACAGTGAGCTGACCCCCACGTCTGTGCTGATCACCCCACTTTCCAGCAGGATGCTGTCCCCTGGGGAAACGGAACAGGGGGCATTGGCGTTTTCTCTGTTTTTTAGAGACTTGCTTTTCCCACCACAGCAAGTAATTAAGGCTTCACTCTTTCATTTTTGCCCTGTTGCTTTAATCAGCTACTCTGATCCCTGACAGCTCAGCTGAGCTCCTGGCAACAACATTAAATAATGTCCTAAAAATCTATAGCTTCATTTATCTTTCAAAGAACAGACATATTGTTTGAGTCTCACTTTTCCTTCCTACTCCAATTATATTATTATTCTTACACTGCAAAGATTTATAACATTCTCACCCTGCTTCCTGGCCATTATTTCTTTCCTAACATGGCAGCTTTATTCCTGGGTTCTCCACTTTGATTCATCTCTTGCTTAGTTAGATTAAGTGATTGAGTCATTTTTTCAGTAAGCGTTCATGGGTACTACAGTTCATGAGTTGTTGGAGGTTTTATTTTAGGAATTTTTTTCATCTACTTCTGTTAATATTTTTGTCCCGTTTGTTTTATTTTGTTTGCTATTCTGACATGACTTTCATTTCTATAATGGTTTTATTTTTCTCATCTGTTTTTTTTTTCCCAGACCACTGACACTCTTCAAATCTATTGTCTTATTATTGTTTTTTGATCTCATGTATACATTTATTTGAGCTCTTGTTTTAAAGATATTGAGTTTTATTTAAGGTTTCAAGCGCAGGAAGACATGTTTTTGTAATTTTCTTCTGCTTCTTAATATGATTTTTCTGTGTATATTCTGCTTTTTTGTTTATGTTACTTCCTTTTAAATGTACTATACTAGGATAGTCTCAAACTGGCTCCTTTCTAATTATTATTAATTTTTTAATGGAGATCACTTGAATCTAGAAGTTTGCTAAAAAGGCGAAACAAAGAGCAGTAGCTCTATTCAAGTATTTGTCACCACACTTTCTGGGAAGAACCCACAAAGGTCTTTAACTTAAGACCATGCCTCTGTCCCTAACCCATGTTCTCGCATTTAGGATGAGCAGGAAGTCTGCAGAGGTTGCAATGATGCTTTCAGCCCAGCGATTTGGAATTTTTTAATGTCTCTTCTTGACTTTGAACAAGCAATTGCTGGGTCTCTTTCGCCTGCTCCCTTGTCCTCCTTTCCTTCTCAATTCTGAGAGGTCTGCATGAAGTTTTGCCACCCTCATTCACTTGTGTCTCATCACCACTGCATTTGACACTACTCTTCCCAGTTTTCTTTTCTGCTTTGATTTATGGCTAAATCCTATTTTTATTCATAATGGTTTCCCATCCCCTCTTTTCTTTTCTTTTCTTATTTCTATTAGGAAAAGAAATAGAGTTTTAGAAAAGAAATATCTTTTTTATGCCACAGTCAATCAGAGGTCCCAAAGAAAACTGTTTACAAGTCCAACTTATGCACTAAATAGTAAGTTCCTGAAGGTAAAGACTACCTCTCAGTCATATCTGTGCTCCCTCTAAGGGCTCAATAACTTGCATGAAGTAAATGTTCAAATGATCAGAATATGTTGCTTTATGAAACTTAAAATCCCTGAAATCTCTCATTACTCCTAAGTTCTCCATTAACCTTCCACCCCCTTTTTAAACATGACCCCCAAGGTAGTTCTGATATATTTGACCTGGACATGGTACACTCTTGCCATGTCAGAACAGGGTTGAAGAGAACATCCTAGAAGAGACTAAAAGCCGTGGGAAGGTAGACTGTCTTTTGTCTTATAGACACCATTTTAATGAACTAATTCTCTCCTTTCAAATGACCTGGAGGTACCTCCATTCTTCCCTCTCCCTAGTGTTCTTATATCATATGCAGATAATACAATTTATTATCACCTATTAAAACTGGTACTGAAATAGAATTACCACTAGAAAAATGGACACAGATGTATTATTCTAAATGCCCCCAAATTTCTATTGGCATGTAGCTGGGAATGCCAATCAGTCCCCAAATATGTCAAGCATTTCACACTTTCTCTTAGAAGGTAAAACAGAAAGGAAGGTTAAGTTGCTGAACATAATGGGTGCTTTACTGAGATTTTGTTGTTTTTTTATACTTTGTTTAGTGGGAGAAAACTCTTGCTGAATTGGACATATGGCTGCATCAACTTTTAAATATTTACATTAAATTTAAATTTAGATTATTTTTTTCTAATAAAATAAATTTTGCTATCATACTCTATGTCAGAGAAATTATGGAACCTAAATGCATATCATCTGCCTATTAGAGTCAATTCAAAGCTACTTTTTTGTAGGTATCTTTCTTCTGACCCCGAATTTATTTTTGCCCTACGTCCATGATGAGACGGGTAGACTGACTGTACTTTGCCATGAAGTTTATGAAATGCATTGCTACCAGTGACTGGAAAGATGATGTTGTCCCCATAGTCCTCCTCTCTATGATGCCCAGGGGGAAAGATATTCTGTTCTCAATACGAGGGATAGATGTTCCTCAACACATAAGTAGATTATTTCTACCTTTTGGATACCCCATCATAGAGCTAGGAAATGTTCCCATTTCATACTGGCTGAAAGAAAACTTAAAACAAATCTGTTGGGTAAACAAAATGTGGTATACCTATATAATGGAATATTACTCAGCCAGTAAAAGAAATGAAGCACTGATACATGCTAGAACATGGATGTATGGAAACATTATGCTAATTGTAAGAATCCAGACCAAAAAAAGCGACATATTATAAGATCCCATTTATACGAAATGTCTAGAATAGTCAAATCCATAGAGACAGAAAGTAGATTAGTGGTTGCCAGGGGTTGGGGGGAAGGAGAAATGGGGAGTGACTGCTAATGGCTACAGGATTACCTTTTGGGGGATGAAGACATTCTAGAATTAGAAAGTGGTAATGGTTACACAACTTTGTAAGTAAATGAAAAAAACAAGAAAACACTGAATTGTAGACTTTAAAACAGTGAACTTCACGGGATGTGAATTGCATCTCACTGAAAAAAACACTTGTGAGACTTTTGCTTCTGCCTGTGAGTTGTGTAAATAAACTAGAAAATTGGGAGAAATGTAATAACTGTTTTCAGATATTGGAATTGGACCACAGACAGAGCAGGACTGCCATTCCTTAGAAAAGGGGAAAAAAAACTTGAAGATAATTCAACTTTCTGCCTAGAGATAATTTCCATATGGCAGTGAAGGGAAAGGAAATCCAAACTGTACCTGGTAATGTAGATGAGTTGAAGACAGAGGTTGGAGCTCAAGATCAAAGTGACTAGAATTTGCAGAGCAGAGTGCCAGACAAAAAGAAGCTGCACCGGGAAAGAGATGCAGAAATCTGCATAACATTCCCCTTGAGTGTCTTGCTGAGTATCAACCTGTGCATGCATCAGGCAAAATGCCTTGAGGTAGGGCAAAGAAAAACTGCTGGAAAAGGAACAATTACTGGGAAGTTGTAAGCCAAAAAAATTCCCAGATCTCTGGGCTAGCAATCATTTGAGTTAACATCCAGAGTAGCAAGACCTAGTTGAGTACATGGGGCATTTAATAGCAATCTAAGAAAGGTCATATATTAACAGTAAGATTAGACTAGCCTTACAATAAAAGCTACTCCAGATCCAGTTTGAAATGCTTAACAATAAGCCTCAAAAGAATCAAGATGATCTGAAATTAACTGCCTCTGAGGACAATATCCAACAGTCCTTAAAAGATTACAGTAAACTCCAGCACTCAAAAATGTAAAACCTACAATGTTAGGTTCCTAATAAAAAATTACTACAATGCTAAGAAACATGATAATGTCTTATAGCAATTAAATAAATTAAATTCAAAATTAAGAACCTTCCCACAAAGAAAACTCCAAGGCCCAGGTGGCTCCACTGATGAAATTCTATCATTTATAAAAGAACTGATACTTGTTCTTCACAAACTCTTACAGAAAATATAAGGCTATGTATAAATATAAAAACCATACAAATATGTTATGAGGAAACTACAAAAGTCACCTACAAAGATAAATGCAAAAATAATTAACAATATTTTAACAAGTGGGATGTAGTATAACATAAAACTGATGGTATATCATGACAAGTAGGATTTATCCCAGGAATGCAATACTGACTTAACATTCAAAAAAGGAATTGATATGATCACCATATTATCAGAATACAAAGGAAATGATGTAATCATGTCAAAAGATGTAAAAAAAAAAAAGGCATTTGACAAAACTCAAAGCCTGTTCATAATACAAATTCTCAGAAAACGAAATAAAAGGAAATTTCCTCAACTTGATAAGACGCATCTATGAAAAATATACGACTAACAAAATGATAAATGACTGAATATTCTCCCCTAAGATCTGGAAGAAGGCAAGGATGTCCACTGCCACACGTTTTATTCAACATTGTAAAGAACGTCCTAGACAATGCAATAAGGCAAGAAAAAAGTCACACTGGTTGGAAGGGAAAAGTAAAACTCTTTTTTTCTCAGGTAATATAACTGTACATGTTAAAAAATCCTAAAAATTCAATATTAAAGTTATCAGAACTAATAAGTCAATACAGCAAAGTCACAGAATACTAGGTTAATAAATAAAAATAAGTGTAAGACTAGTATACTAAATATTACAAAACATAGCTGATACAAATTAAAGAAGACCTAAATAAGTGAAGAGAGATACCATGTTCATGGATTGGAAGACTCTCTTTTATGAAGATATCAGTTCTTCCAAAACCAATCAGTGAAATTCCAATCAAAATATCTTTTTTTTTTTGGTAGAAATTGTCAAGCTGATTCTGAAATTTACACAGAAATGTAAATGAGAGTGTAGCCAAAATAATCTTGAAAAAGAACATCAGAAGTTTGAGAATTTACGTTGCCTGAATTCAATACATATTATAAAGCTATAATAACCAGTTTTATATGCATTTAGGGAAAAAAATGACCTCTACCTCAGACTACACACAAAAAGTAACTTTAACTGGGTCATAAACCTAAATGTAAAAGCTCAAACTATAAAACTTCTAGAAGAAAACAAGAAACAAATGGGGTAAACAAAGATTTCTTAGGACACAAAGAAAAGTGTCCCTAAAAAAAAAAAAAAAAAAGATAAGTAACTTCTGCACTTTGATGAACACAGTTAAGGAAATGAAAAGACAAGTTACAGATTTGGAGAAAGTATTTGTCATACATATTTCTGACAAACAACTTGAATCCAGAAAACTTAAACAACTCTTAAAACGAAATGATAATAGCACAAACATACCACATAAAAACTGGGAAAGAAATTTCATCATAAAAAACATAGAATGGATAATAAGCACATGAAAAAAATACTCAACATTATTAGTCACCAGGGAAATGCAAATTAAAATCACAATACCACTGTATGCTTGCAAGAGCGGCTAATATTTAAAATACTGACAACAGCAATTGTTGGTAGGGACGTGAAACAACTGAAACACTTAAACATTGATTGTGTGACTGTAAAATGGTATGAACATTATGGAAAACAGCTGGCATTTTCTCATAAAGTTAAAGAAATTTGCCATATGATACAGCAATTCTACTCCCAGGTATATATCCACAAGAAGTAAAAACAAAGTCCACACAAAAACTTGTACATGAATATTCATAGCAACTTTTTTATAACAGTCAAAAACTGGAAACAATCTAAATGTCAAACATTGTGTGAATGGATATACATTTTGTAGTATGAAATATTCCACTGTACAGAATATCACTGAACAATAATGAAGAGCCAACTATTGATAGATAACAACAATGTGGGTAAACGCAAAAAAACATTACACTAAACAAGAGAAGTCATACTCAAAAAAATTACACTCAAGATTCTATTTAGGATATGACTAGAACTGGAAAATTTAATCCGTAATGACTGAAAGCAGATCAACGGTTGCCTGGGGTTGGGGTCAGACACTGAGTAAAACGAGGCATTAAGGAATATTTTAGGGTGATGGATGTTTTAAGTCTCGATTGTGGTTACACAGTATATATTGGTCAAAACTCAAACTACACACTTACAGTGAGGGCAGTTTATTGTATGTAAATTATGGCTTCATGAGAAATTTGTGTGTAAAATTTTTTACGACATGAAATCGGGAGAAAAACGCAATTTCATATTATTTTAAAAATAACAAAAGTGTTAAACACTTCTGCTGAGTTCATCACAGGCAAAACGGTATCTTTAACTTTGATGGGCTTCAACAAGAAGCATTCAACAAGTAATAGCCAATCACTTTTTTTACTCTCGTTTTTTCACTCCTGCTATATATATATTGCACATGAGTAATGCTTAAAAGTAAAGAATTAAGTAAAGTTTAGTATCATTACAGAACCAAGAATTTAGAAGTCAAGCATAGTCTTACATTTCAATTCTTTCTCTCAGAGACCAAAATATTGATCATCTTTCTCTAAAGCTAGAAATTTAAAAGAAGGCAAAAAATAACATGCTATCTTCTGACAGAATAAAAAAATGTTAATTAAATTCCCTTCTCCTAAACTTTTTCATTTATATATGACTTATCTTCAAATGAAGACACCAGAAACCAGTATCTTACAGTATTCCTCAATTACATTTTCCTTGCTATATATAGACTTATTAAAACAATATTGTTACTCACTTCAATTGTCTTGGCCAGTAACTGTGTGTGAGGAAAATTATACTTGTATACTTGGTTAGCGACAGTGTTTATATCAACGGCAGCCACCACTTGTGCAGGTATACAGCTTTCTGTAACGATAAGTGGAATAACTTAAAAGGTAAAGTCCTTAACAACAATTTGTTCATCATAGAGAGAAACCAAAATAACAGAATTTTGTAGTACATTTCCTCACTTCCTCAATTATCTGGCCAGATCGGGAGGAGCTAGGCGCGAAGTAGAATATTTATGTATCTCTGGTTCATCTCTCTCAACAGCATTCTCATGCTAAAAATAAGATTTAAATATTTTAGTCATTATCTCTTATATTTGCTTTCCTTCCTCCATTAAGATACACACTTATGAGTCTAATGGAAAGTTTTCCTAAATTAAAACAAACCAAAAACAGAAAAGTGAAGTACAGTAAGTCCCCTACATACCAATGAGTTCCGTTCTGAGAGCACGTTCATAAGTCCAATTTGTTTGTAAGTCCAGCAAAGTGAGCCTAAGTACCCAACTAACACAATCGGCTATATAGTACTGTACTGTAATAGGTACTGTACTGTAATATTTTTCACACAAATAATACATAACAAACAAACAAATGCAAAAAATAAAGAAAACATTTTAAATCTTACAGTACAGTTTCCATTGTTGTCACTTGGTGCTTCTTGGCAGTACCAGCTACATCACTGCCGCTTTTACACTTGCTTCAGGACTACCTCAGCTTGAAATAAAGATACTGTATTCTATACAGTACTGTACAGTAAAGTACACATAAGCAGAACCACTTGTAGAGGATGCACGCATGTGACAATGTACACCAGACACGTGAACTAACTTACGGGATTCGACATGAGAACACACGTTCACATCTTTGAAAGTTCGCAACTTGAAGGTTCGTATGTAGGGGACTTACTATATATTCTTAAAAGCCACATCACTGGGCTTCCCTGGTGGCGCAGTGGTTGAGCGTTTGCCTGCCGATGCAGGGGACGCGGGTTCGTGCCCCGGTCCGGGAAGATCCCACATGCCGCGGAGTGGCTGGGCCCGTGAGCCATGGCCGCTGAGCCTGCGCGTCCGGAGCCTGTGCTCCGCAACGGGAGAGGCCACAACAGTGAGAGGCCCGCGTACCGCAAAAAAAAAGAAAAAAGAAAAAAAAAGAAAAGCCACATCACTTGGAAATTTATAAATAAATTAACTAACATTTGTTCTTCAACTTCTAACATTAATCCAATGCTGCTTCCCAATACCGCTGAAAATGCTTTTAGGTAAGTTTTGGTAAGTTTCAGGTAAATTTGTTTTGTTTTGTTTTTAAATAGCTTTATTGACATGCAACTCACATATCACAAAATTCACCTGTTGAAAGTTTAGGTAAGTTTTTAAAGGAGATGAAAAATTAATTGGTGTCCAAATGTAACAAGCTCACAGACAAAAAATTAAAAATTTTGACAGAGAGAAGGTGAGAAGAGCAAGAGAAAAAATTACAAGGGCATGTCTTCCTTCACTGCCCATCTGTCTTGCTGCTAAAGAAAGGCATTTTTTCATAATGCTTTCAGATTCAGAGAATTTTGTCATAGTCTTTAAATGGCAGTCAAAATTTCAACCATGTAAACGTAGCTGCTGTTATATTTTGCAGTTATCACCCTCTTTGCACTTCTTCTCCAAACACATACAAACCCAATTATGCGTAAACCCTGTCCCAACTCAGCAGAAAATGTGAAGAGTTTTTAAAATAAAAGTATTTGAGACATCTTAGGAAAATCATCAGAGAAAATGTTACAAAATTACATAGTAGCTCCAAATAGCTATTTCTTTAATAACCATTTCTGTTCATAGTTAAATTAGGCAGCCCAAATATCAAAAAATGAAAAAGAAAAATATTAGGATGGGAGGAGCTAGGCTTCATGCAGCAGGCACCCGGAAATAAAACCTAGATCACAGAAGATGGGGCAAGGAGGGAAGCTCACACACATTCAGGAAACAATCACAACCCTACACTGAGGCCTACAAAAGATAATGCCAGAGAGAAAACAGGGGATGAATGTGTCTAAGTAAATATATACTTCATGTATACTACTAGGCTCAAGACCCTGGGCTAGGACCAGTTATCTTCTAGATACCCTGCTGCGGTAGGTCACTGGAACGTCAAGGTCCAGTTATATCATAGGCAGCTGCCTCTAAGTGAGTTTAAATTCAATAACTAGTTTACTTGCCTTTGTAGAAAGTCAATTTAAGTTCTAAATTATATCTCTGTCAAAGGCATCAGAGAGATCTTGAAACATAAATCAAGGTTTTTAAACAAACTAAAAAATATTAGTATATAAGGATCAATTTGCAAAATCACAAACCTTATAATCCAGGTCAATAAAGACAGAGACCTACTGGAGAACAGACTTGAGGATATGGGAAGGGGGAAGGGTGAGGTGTGTTAGGGCGAGAGAGAGATATGGACATATATATACTAACAAACGTAAGGTAGATAGCCAGTGGGAAGCAGCCGCATGGCACAGGGAAACCGGCTCGGTTCTTTGTGGCTGTCTGGAGGGGTGGGATAGGGAGGGTGGGAGGGAGGGAGACAAAGAGGGAAGAGATATGGGAACATATATATATGTATAACTGACTCACTCTGTTATAAAGCAGAAACTAACACACCATTGTAAAGCAATTATACCCCAATAAAGATGTTAAAAAAAAAAAAAAAGAACTATACAACTACTAATCATTTTAAGAGAGCGCAGAATTAAATAACTTCACTGAACTATTCTACTGTTCTGCTAAATAAGATATGTTGTAATTAGCATGATGCTTATCTTTCTGTTATATATACAGCAAGCTGGGATTGCCTGGAGTTAGTTGATATGATTTTTCTCCTTTTTCAGGCTGACTGAAAATCCACAGTGATGTGCCAAATCTCTACCATAATCAATAACTAATTTTATGTTCTTGTATTAAGTGCCTGGAAGACATAAAAACTGATAAAACTCAACTGCCAAATGAGTGTTTTATGTGGTGATGAAAGAACTGATGAACTGAAAATTCTTTCTCAGGAAACAACAGGTTTTTAAATTAAAGTCAATAAGCAAGTGCACTGTTTGCACATATTTTAGACTGTTATAAAATAAGATCTACCGCATGACCTAAAAAGTTATTTCCATGATAAAAAATAAACATACTAAAACCTTACTGACACTAATTCAACCTGCCTTTTCTTTTTTTTTTTTTTTTTTTTTTTTTTTTTTTTTGCAATATGTGGGCCTCTCACTGTCGTGGCCTTTCCCGTTGCCGGACGCGCAAGCTCAGCGGCCATGGCTCACGGGCCCAGCCGCTCCGCGGCATGTGGGGTCCTCCCAGACCGGGGCACGAACCCGTATCCCCTGCATCGGCAGGCGGACTCTCAACCACTGCGCCACCAGGGAGGCCCCAACCTGCCTTTTCAAAACAGATTGTTTCGGGGTATGAGTGTGTAACCAAGGAAAAAGTTGAACTTATAAATAACACTCTTAAAATCAAGCCTTTCAATTCTATCAAAATCTTAAATTGAGCTCCAAAGACAAGTTGTTTTGATATTTCTTACTGTACAGTTTAAATCTACAGCCTCCAAAAATCTTTAAGCTGCATACACAGATTTTGAAAATGTTTAACTAAAAATAATCAAACAAATGTAATTCAACAGATTTTTGCCTAAGTGAGCTCCATCACTTAACTGATCCAGGAGTAGTAATTCTCAAAGGGGAGAGAGAATTGGGGAAATGGGATCCATAGGATCTTCTGGGGAAGTAGAAGGAGAGGATGGGTTTTCAGCACTTTGATCTATTGCTTTACCTGGATTTTATTCATGGTATTTCAGTTGTTATTCTGGACTGCATATTTATCAACAAGAAGCATAGGTACTAAGACATTCCAGTTAGAGAAATGCAACACTGGGGGCTTCCCTGGTGGCACAGTGGTTGAGAATCTACCTGCCAATGCAGGGGGCACAGGTTCGAGCCCTGGTCTGGGAAGATCCCACATGCTGCGAAGCAACTAGGGCTGTGAGCCACAACTACTGAGCCTGCGCGTCTGGAGCCTGTGCTCCGCAACAAGAGAGGCCGCGACAGTGAGAGGCCTGCACACCGCGATGAAGAGTGGCCCCGCTCGCCGCAACTAGAGAAAGCCCTCGCACAGAAACGAAGACCCAACACAGCCAAAAATAAATAAATAATAAAAATTTTTTAAAAAAGAAAAAAGAAATGCAACATAAGTGATTTTAAAGGATTGTCAGATTAGATCTACACGGAAAGGTTAAGAGGTATCATACTCCCATTTATATGAGACCTAAACTAAAAACCGGCAGATTTAATTATGTCAAGAGAGACTTCCAGGTGAAATGTTAGAAACGTCACGGAAAATGAAGATTGGTTCAAGATGGCGGAGTAGAAGAACGTGCGCTCACTCCCTCCTGCGAGAGCACTGGAATCACAGCTAACAGCTGAGCAGTCATCAACAGGAGGACACTGGAACTCACCAAAACAGATACCCTCACATCCAAAGACAGAGGAGAAGCCACAGTGAGACGCACTGTGACGAGGGGCGCAATCCCAATAAAATCAAATCCCATAACTGCTGGGTGGATGACTCACAGACTGGAGAACAATTATACCACAAAAGTCCACCCACTGGAGTGAAGGTTCTGAGCCCCACATCAGGCTTCCCAACCTGGGGGTCCAGCAACGGGAGGAGCAATTCCCAGAGAATCAGACTTTGAAGGCTAGAAGGATTTGACTGCAGGACTTCAACAGGACTGGGGGAAACAAGAGACTCCACTCTTGGAGGGCACACACAAAGTAATGTGCATGTCGGGACCCAGGGGAAAGAGCAGTGACCCATAGGAGACTGAACCAGACCTACCTGCTAGTGTTGGAGGGTCTCCTGCAGAGGCGGGGGGTGGCTGTGGCTCACCATGGGGACAAGGACACTGGCAGCCAAAGTTCTGGGAAGTATTCCTTGGTGTGAGCCCCCCAGAGTCCACCATTTGCCCCACCAAGCAGCCAGGTAGGCTCCAGTGCTGGGTCGCCTCAGGCCAAACAACTAACAGGGAGGGAACCCAGCC